GGGGGGGGTTCCCTCACACTGTGCTCATGATAGTGAGTTCTCATGAGATCTGATGGTTTTATAAGTGTTTGGCAAGTTCCTCCTTCCCTCACTCTTCCCTCTCCTGCCGCCTTGTAAAGACAGTGCCTGCTTCCCCTTCCTTCATGATTATTAAGTTTCCTGAGGCCTCCCCAGCCATGTGGAAACTGTGTCAATTAAACCTCTTTTCTTTATAAATTACCCAGTCTTGGGCAGTTCTTTATAGCAGTGTGAGAACAAACTAAGACACCTATCCTGAAAACAAAACTCCTCTAAGCCCTTAATGGAATATAACCATAAGCCCTTAAGTTCCCACTATTTTGATAAGTTACCATCTTTCACCTTTCACCTACCCACTGGGCGTCATGGCTGGATATTGCTGGCTGTTTGCTCTGACGTGAACTAGCTTTGCCACATAGGCCACATCACATGTAATCTCTCTTCACGTTTGATTTCTCAGTGGAGGAGTAACCTGAACAACTGATCATTTCCACTGTCTCTTCTAACTCTTCTCGCTTGGTACAGCTTAAAGTTTACAGGCAACCACTCTCCATTGGGAGCCCCTTTTCTAGTGTACACAGCTACTAGAGTCTATTAGCCTCTTTTCACACGGCTATAAAGAACTGCCCAAGACTGGGGAACTTATAAAGGAAAGAGATTTGACTCATAGTTCAGCATGGCTGGGGAGGGCTCAGGAAACTTACAATCATGGCAAAAGGGAAGTAGATACTTCTTTACTAGATGGCAGGAGAAGCGCCAAGCAAAGGAGGAACAGCCACTTATAAAACTATCAGATCTTGTGAGAACTTGCTATCATGAAACAGCATGGGAGAAACTGCACCCATGATTGAATTACCTCCACCTGGTCTCTCCCTTGACAAGTGGAGATTATGGGGATTACAATTCAAGATGAGATTTGGGTGGGGACACAAAGCCTAACCATAGCACAGGGAAAAATTTCTAAGGATCTTTTTATGACCATAATAAAAAAAAACAGATTAAAATTGTTTACAAAGTTAAGAACAAAAAAACTAAAATGGTTTCATGGAATTTTCAATCATAACATGTCCAGTTGCTGGTTCAAGAATATATCAGTTGGCTCTATAGGGAAAATTGTGTCCGTGCCAAATGACTTGATAGGAATGGAAATTCCTCAACTGTGAGGCTCCCTACAGTAGCCTTCAGCATGCAAACCAGAGTCGTTTCTTAGCTTTTAGGCCTCCCTCATGGTGACTTTCCCATCCTACTAACTCCACAGGTTTATTATTTTTTCTTCCAAAATTGAAAAAAAAAACCCTCAATTGTTCATTCTTTTGGATTTTAAAAGGAACTCTCACATATTATTTTTTTTTAAACCAGATAATTCAAAATATATAAAAGAGAAAGTAAAGCCCACTCCCTAGGATCATACCACCCAGATTTGAACACGATGAATATGTGATGTATTCTACCATTTTCCCATGCATGCAGATATTTTCCTTTTTAATAAAATAGGATGTCATACATATCACTTCATAAACCATTACTTTAATTTACCTTGCTTATGACTATTTTTAACATTAGCAAAATATAACTTCAATTGCAACACAGTATGCCACTAGGTGTACATACACATAATAATTACATGGATCTACTATGATTTAACTAATTTTCTACTGAGGCACATTTGAGATTGCTTTCAACTTTATATCTTCTTATAAACAATGCTACCAAGGACATTATTATAGACTCACTTTAATCACTTGTTCAATTATTTACTTAAAACTTTTCAGAAGTTAGAATTT